TTAACAGGGGATAAAGCCTATGATGGTTGATGGATCCCCATCTTTTTTGAGCATCAGCATGACCTCACCTGGAACCATCACTGCCACTTGGAGGGTATTATGACTCAGTCCATCAGCGAAAAGCCACTCCAAAGCATCTTGATGTTTTTGATGAAACCTTAGAGGCTCAACCATAAAACCATAACTTAGTGTCACCAGAGAACCTCCACATTCCATGATTAGGTCCCATACGTCTAGAAACCAGTGGGTTAGGTGGCCTGGGGTCCATGGGAGACATGGCAAAATTGTCTACTTGGTACAATCAAATTTATACCTGTGAAATAGAGTCTAGTACTTGATGTTATTGTTATGTGCTGCCGACTTGGTTCCGACTCATAGCAACCCTGTATAAGGTTTCTGAGGAGCGGCTGGTGAGCCTGAACCACCAACCTTTCGGCTCAAACCGACCTTGCAGTCCAGTGCATTAAGCTACAGTGCCACAGAAGGACTCATAGTACTTGATTGTTGTTGTCAAGGGCCATTGAGTCAGTTCCAACTCATAACGACCCTGTATAGGGTTTCCAAGGAGTTTGAACCAACACTGCTTGATTAAGTACTAAAGTGTGTTAATTCAACAAGCATGCTGAGCCCAGGAGCAGCACTAGATGGCGCTATAGTGAATAAGACTGGCAGCCCTTGCCTTGTGGAGCTTACAGGCACCTGGGACACAGGGAACAATGGATGCAACTGTAAAGAAGGAAGACTAGAGAGCCTACAAGGTGGTCAGCATGGACAACAGAGGACGGATTAAGAGGGCTTCTCTGTGCCCAGAGTTAAGGAGATTCTGGGGCCTCTGTGAATGGATGTAAATGAGAGCTTGCATGGTGTATTGTCTTGGTCTCTCCTAACCCCCAGAAGTGTACCTTCTCTTACCTTCTTGATCAAAGACACCCTTAGAGGAAGCCCAACAACAGGTCCTCAGCCACTGGCTATCCCTGTGGCTGTGGAAGGAGAAAACTCAGGCTCTCTGCCAGGTATCAGTGGCCACCCATCTCTGGCTGCTACTAATGATTCCAGCGTCATCTTTGAGTGTGGACAGGAAAATGGCCAGAGGCCACTGGCAGTAGGCAGGCAAGGTAGTCAGGTAGGAAGGGGCAGGCTTGCCTGGCAGCTCATTGCCTCTGTCTTTTGTTTCCCCAAAAAGGGAGCCCAAAGCTCACAGGAAGTGAGGAAAGTGAGAGGAAGCTTCTCTTCCTTAAGCAAGTCTGGCCCCAGGGGAAGCTGACAAGCTGTACTCTTCCAGAAAAGATCTGGGTTTCCACCTGGGATCTGGCCAATGGGGCATAGGGGGTCTTCAGAAACCAAGGTGTGGTTAGGCTGTCCCACCCACATCCATTAGGATTTTCTGATACCCAGAGGAGTTTTTTTCCTACTTGGCTCCTCCCCCACCCCTACTCTGGTGGAAAGTTATAAATTGGGGTGTGTGTGTCATGATCGGGGATGAAGTGAATGGGCCAGAAGGGAGGCAGCTGTGAAGAAGTGTGTAGAACACTGGGTTTGGAGTCTCATTGGGCCACTTTACATTTTGGAGCTATATATATATAAATATATATAATAACTTCCTCATTATTCACCTAATATGTTTACTTCGTGAGTAGATGAGAGACAATTAAGTGTTAGTGACTAACATGACTACTGTCACATCCCAGAGTTCTCAACCCAAAGTCCATGAGGCCCACATCCGGGGCATCTGTAGATTGCCTGAAATACAGAGCACAACTGGGGTGAGGATGCAGCTCTCATCAGCTTCTTAGAAAGGCTTGAAGTCCAACAAACTTTAAGAGGCACAGCACCAGTATATCCCCCACCCTTACTTTTTAGATGAGTTAACCAAGACTCAGGACCACGTAGTTTATCAGCAACAGAGCCAGGACCTGGCCTGACTCAAGTCAGCCAAGGTGATGGAAGAGTGAGACTAGGGAGATGTGAGCAGTGCCCTACTGGGTGCTGGGGTCTGTCTTCTGTGTGTGACCAGGATGAGGACTTCACGGGAAGGTGAAGGACAGAAGAACAAGGAAACCCCAAAGATGGCAGAGGTCTGGGAGGTCCTTCCTGCAAGTGTGAGTTGTTAAGTAAATGAGTGAGTCCTCCTCCCAATCTCCCTTTCCCAACGTTCTCCCCAACCCCCACACTCTACCCCTACACACACACACACACACACACACAAAGGACTCACACAGAGTAAGGAACAGCACTTTAAGAGTGATGTGTCTGGTTCTCAGTTTCCTCTTCTGGATAAAGTTGTGTGTGTGTGTGTGTGTGTGTGTGTGTGTGTGTATGTTAGTGTGTTGCAGGAACAGCTCTGTGGAACAGGTAGGGGAGTCATCTGAGGCTCAGAGAAGATACCAAGTCAAAGCTTTATGGAAAAGTTATGAAAGTCCACACACAAATGTTAGGTCACCACACAAAGATACCATTTACTGAACAACTACTAAGTGCCTGGGATGTATGGGATGCTTTGCCTAAATCAGTCTCACCTCTTCAAGGGGCTTTCCCTGAAGACCCTGCTAAAGTAAATCCACTCTTTTCCCCAGCCTGTTAATGTCTCTGGTTCTGTGTGTTCCCCTTTCCTCCCGCTAGATTGTAATCTTGGCAAGGGCAGGGGCCAGGTCAGTGTGTTGAGTGTACAGTGCCTAGTATCTAGTAGTCTCTCACATACTTGTTAAATGAATGTCCTTAATCTTTACAAGGAGCCTGGGTAGCATAGTGGATTCCCAGCTGGGCTGATAACCACAAGGTCAGCAGTTCAAATCTACCAGTTGCTCCGTGGGAGAAAAGTGAGGCTTTCTGCTCCTGTAAAGATTTACAGCCTCAGAAACCCTATGCAAGGTCGCTATGAGTCGGAATTGACTCCACGGCATATCACCACCACCACCACCAATCTTCACAAGAGCTTTCTGAGGGAGGTATTATGATCAAACCTGCTTTACGAAAGAAGAAACTGAGATTCAGAAAGACTTACTTAAGAACTCATTTTACACCCCATGATTTCAGCTCTACTCCTGCCCCTTCAGGGATTCAGAGACCCAGAAAACCTCAAGGTCAGAAGAAAAAGTCTCATCAGTTCAGCCTCCACCCTGTGCTCAGTTTTCCCCGGCTGAATTCTCCACCCTCGCACCACTCCCCAGGAATTTCAAGTCACCAGTCCACAACCACAAAGCTGGAGGCCAGTCCAAACTGGCCCGTTTATTTTTCAAACCAGCCCAACCCAGAGAAGTATATACATTTGGGAGTCCACACACCCCCTCCTCAAGCTTTAACACAACAGATAAATTAGGGAACACTCTTTTATAAAACATCATCCAGGGAAAATACACACATATATAGAGTGCTGGTGTTGAGGTGGGGTTCGCGTCTTGAACATAGGTAACCCAATCCTGACACATCAGGGTGACTGGCCTTGGTACCCTCTTTCCCTGAAGCTGTTCATCTCCTGTCCTGTTTATCACAAATCCTAATGAGCCAAAGGAGCTCTGGTAGCGTAGTGGTTATGAATCGGGCTGCTAACCTCCACACTGGCAGTTTGAAACTATCAGCAATACCGCGGGAGAAAGATGAGGCAATCTGTTCCCGTAAAGATTTACATACAGCCTCGGAAACCCTGTACAGGGTCACTATGAGTCGGAACCGACTCCATGGTACTTAACAACAACAATGATCCAACATCTTGTCCCCCAAAGGGAACTGCTTCCTGCCTGCCCCCTAATGGCCTGCTTCTTTGAGGTGGACCACACCCCTGCTCTTCCTTCCTTCCCTTTCTGGCTTGGCCTGGACCTAAAGACAGGCAAGACAGAATGAGAGATAGTATACCGAAATGTTTGGTGCCCATGTATCATCCAAACCAGGGCATTTTTGAAAGTCGAATGGGATTTAATTCACTGGAAACCAGGCAATGACTTGGAGTCCCAGGTAAAGGAGACATGGCCACCGTACTGATAGGTCCTCCCTGCTTTAGACTATTGGTCTGGTCCTGCTTCTCTTGACTTTCCAAAGCATACCGCCCTCCCACACACCCACACCCCCCCATGAGCAGCAAACTCTTCACTGGCCCGTTTCTACTCTCCACAACCCTCCAGCATCTTGGCTACATATTTTAAGACCCCAACTAGAGATCAGGTTGGGAGGGGTAGTTTGGACATGATGCCTCCTCCTAACCCCATGTGGGACTCGGTCATGTCAGGCCTCTGGTATCAAGCCCTGGGCCTTCTGGCTCCTCAGGTGCAATCCCCAAAATCATGGCCACATGACCCTTAGTTGAAAAGTGGTGAGGGGTGCTGTGGGGTGTCCTGGAGGGGAGAAGTAGGATCGAGGTGAGGTGAGTCATCACCTTTCCCATCTCCCCCAGGACACAAAAGGAAAAGATGTAGTTCAGCACTCTTGTGTTAGCCTCTCATCCCACACTTGCCAAGCCGCCTCTCTCTAAGCCTCCCTGTAGCTAAGGGCCAGGTCAGCCCCAGAGCAGTAGGAATCAATTCCCCCATCCCTGCAAAGCACTTCTCTTCTAGTACCTTCTCCACATGCTGTGCACATTCCTAGTTCCATCTCAAGGTGGCTTCTATGCTAGGAACCCCAGGAGCCTTATGGGTGGCAACTGGGAGACTGGCTAAAGCTAGAGACCAACCTGTCGCTCCTTGCATCCTGGCCAGTATCGTCACCACCCTGCCGGGCTCCAATTCAGAGTCAGCACCCTACTCCTTGCTTTTAGAACGTTGCTTAGAAGGCCCCGTGCTTGTAAAACTGCTTTAAATAAGTCTTGCTAAAGCAGATTATGTCAGATAGCAGAAACCAGGCTCCAAGCCCCTAAAGATTCCTCTTCTTCTCCCTCTTTTCCCTCCCACCCCCAGCTGCGGACAGTCCATTGCTACACCAGAAGCCCGTTATTGGTCTTCCCTGGGCCGCGGCCTCTCACTCTCTGTCCCTCCTCCAAGTGCCCACTTGGAGTAGAGCTTTGACCACTAAACTCAGGATGTGGCTTTCCGATGCGCCCCGGAGTAGGCATAGGAGATGGGATGGCGGGTGCCAGGCCTCACAGTGAATGTGTTGACAGGGCTGCTGCCGTAGTGCGGCACATTGTGGGGAGACCTGGAGGTGGGAAGCAGGAGAGAGAGATGAGGTTAATACCTAGCTGGTTAGTCATCCTTCCCAGCATCCCCAGGGCACAAAAGGAAAAGATGAGCTCAGCACCTTTGTATCCGCCCCACAAACCCTAGGCTTATCAGGGTGGGACCCCTAGGCAGACAGTTTGTTCAGCAGACACTTGCAGTCTAGGCACTGCTGGTCACAGAACATATTCCCAAGGCCCTTCCATTAAAACTCCTTCTTCTGGTCTGGATCTGGATCCATCCTTCCTTCCTCCCAGTCTCTTACCCTGACTCCAGGAGAGAGGACAGAGAAGACAGGGAGGAGGACGCGCAGGGAAAAGGATGGGGAAAGAGAATGAGGAAGAGAAGGAGGCAGGTAAGGGAAACAGCCCCTCTCCCCTTCTGAAAGCCAAAATTAAACACACACAACTGATTCCCATGGAGCCCATTATGACTCAAAACGACCCAGTGTGTTTGAGTAAAACCCCCCAAAAGGGTTTCCGGCCCTCAACCTTAAGGAAACAAAAAAATAAGCCTCAATTAAAAAAGCAACTCCCTGGTGGTGCTGTGGGGTAAGCACTGGACTGCTAACAGCAGGGTTCAAACCCACCAGAGACACCTCAGAAGAAAGCTAGTCTTTCTGTTCCTATGAAGATTTACAGCCTTAATAGGTGTTCTGTTGCGGCTGTGGGTTATGCGCTGAACTACAAAGTCAGTTTGAATCACAAGGTTGGCAGTTCAAGTTCACCAGTCGCTCCTTGGAAACCCTATGCAGGGTCCCTATGGGTCCGAACTGACTCAACGGCACTTAACAACAACAGGGGTCTCTATGTTTTGGTATTTATTTGGTAGGTCAGAATTCGGAACCACCAACCTTAAGGTTACCAGTTCTTGAGATTCCACTACAAGTTCTTGAGATTCCACACTGTGGGCCGGCCACCCATGGCCTGGTCAGCTCCTCTGTGTTCCCAGAGGGCTCGGTGGATCACTCCCACTACACCCACCGCCAGTACCCCAACTTGCCTGCCCACAGAAGGTCCAAAGCCGTAGTCTCCGCTGGCTGCTTTGTACTTGGCTTCTGCTGTGCCCCCACCGCTTGTGTAGGGCGTGCTCCGGGTGCCCTCCATGGACATTCTCCGCGTGTGCAAGCCGCCGGGGTGCGCTCGGCCCACCGAATTGACACGACGCATTTCAGGGCCTCCGGAAGTACCAAATGGCCCTCCCAGCTGGGGCCCAAAGCAATTGGGGGAGCTCATACTGCGGCCCGTGCCGCCACGGGCCAGTACGCGGCTGTGGTGGGCATCCCCAACATACAGGCGTTTCTTGATGAGTGAGCGTCCACCCGCGGAGAAGCGCTCCAGACCCCCGGCCCCGGAGTAGCGTGCACCGGTGGGAAAGCGCGAATAACCACGAGCTTGCGAGACCGAGGGGCCCATATCCAGGGACTCCCTCAAGTCCGAGAAATTGTTCCGGGGCGAGGAGCCCCGCTGGCCGGGATACTGGAGAGTCGGGGCCGAGAGATCACGGTCATTGCTGAATTCTGGCGGCGGTGGGATGACCTCAAAGTTGAACTCCTCTCTCTTGTAGGAAGGAGAAGATGGGGAGGAGAAGGACTTGGGCTGTGGGCGGCCTTGTGGGGGCTTGGAGGGAACTGGTTTTTCCCAGGCAGCGGGGGCCTGAGGTTCTGCCTTTGTCCGCTTGTGCCAGCGGCTTGGCTCTGTGCCCTCTGAGTTTCTGCAGAGCTGGGGCGTCCACTGACTGGGTACCGTGGGTTGGGTTGACGAGTCCAGCATGGAGTCCTTCTTGGTCTCCTTCGATAGCTTGGGAACCACGGTGAAGGAGTTGGGCAGGCCTTCGCTGTAGAAGATGCTGTCAGAGCCTGCCTCAGGTGGGTTACTGTGGCCTCGGAGACTCCCTGGTAGGGAGGACCGACCGAGCGGAGCTCCTCCAGACCTTCCCTTCTGTGCCCTCTGTCGGGCTGCAAGAAGCAAGGCCATTGGGGATCCCCGCTCCACCACCTCCCCAGTCACCGGATGCCTGAGGAGTTCATCAGCAGGTGGGGCCCTTACAGGGGTCTTGGCTTGCAGGCCCTGGGGCTCCTTCACCTCCACAGACTCCCCTGACCCGGCAGCCTCTCCTCTGGCCAGGTTGGGCATGACCACAGCAACCTCTCTGCAGCTATTCTGGCTTCGATGGGGCTTGTAGAGATAAATCTCTTCTTGGGTAGATGTTTTTGGTGGAAGGGCTGGAGATGAGGGGACTTCCTTTGCAGGCAACTTACTGGGCTTTAAGGGAGACCCGTTTGCCTCAGGCTGGGAGGGCACTACAAGTTCTTGAGATTCCACGGGCGTTTCCCATTGCCCAGCAGGGGCTGTGTCCTTCTCTGCCATTAGCTGCAATGTGACAGGCAGAGTTGTAGCTGTGGATGGTATGGTAGGTCCAGATGTAGCCTTAGGTGGTGTGGCTGGCCCAGATGTGGGCTTGGACTGGAGTGGCCTAGTTGGCAGGGGTGTGACAGATACAGGTGGCAGAATTTTAGTCACAGGCTTAGAGAATTTACCATTACCAGCTCCATTTTCAAAGATTCTGCCCCCTTCTGGCAGAGGTTTGGGTGGCAAGGACCCTAAACTGGGCTTGGCTTCCTTTTCAGCTGATGAGGAAAACCGGGCCTCCAGCTTTTCCCGGATCTGCCGGACATTGGGAGGAAGGGAGTCTTGGGGAATATAATCCACAGGGGGTAGGATTAGGCTGGTGGTGGTCTCCTTCTCTGGTACCCTGTTACTGCGAGGGCTCTTCTTCTCAGGAACAACTGGGGGAGTCTCCTTCTCTGGCAGGCTTCGGGGAGTCTCCTTCTCTGGCAAGCTTGGGGGAGCCGCCTTCTCTGGAAAGTTTGAGGGAGCCGCCTTCTCTGGAAAGCTTGGGGGAGCCTCCTTCTCTGGCAGGCTTTGGGGAGCCTCCTTCTCTGGCAGGCTTGGGGGAGCCTCCTTCTCTGGCAGACTGGGGCCCTTCTTATCCTGAGAGGCCACCGTTGGGCCTGGTCTGTGACCGAGGGATCGGTTGTCTCTCTTGGAGCCACACAGATAAGCTGCCAGCTCACTCCGCAGCTTTTCCATCTGACTGGGATCCCGCCAGTCCACGGGGGCTGGAGAGGCTGTGTCGTCTGGACTGGGGGGTTTGGGTTTGGGAACTGAAGAGCTGGATTTGGAGCTTTTTGCATACCCAGCAAGTGGAGGGGATACCTTCTCAGCAGAAGGCAAAGGAGGAGCAGGAGGAGGCAGAGGGGTTGCTGGGGGTGGGAGTGGGGGAGCTGGAGGGGGTAGGAGAGGAGCTTCGGGTAGTAGTGGAGGGGCAGGAGGGGGCAGGAGAGGGGCTGGGGGTGGAGTCTCAGCATGTTCATTTGTCTGCAGCTGGGCCTGGCCCAGCCTTGGGCTGGCTGGTGCTGCTGCTCTGAGTGTCCCTGGACTGCCTGGCTCAGGTTCCCTGTCAGGGTAGGCCTGAGACACAGGGCGGATGTGGAAGCTGGGAGGCAGTGGGAGCCGGCTGGGGACCTTCTTGGTGGCCCCCTCTTCCTCTGGGGGATCCACTTGTGCTTCCTGAGCCTGGATGGATGAAGTCCTGACTGGGGTTGGGGGAGGCACCTTGAAGGAACGGGGGAAGGTGAGGTGGGACTCTGACTTGGGGACCAAGGGGCTCCCCTTAGGCTTAGCAGGACTCCTGGGGGGGCTGGATGTGGGAGCTGCTGGCTGCCTGTCATTCAATGCCACCTCTGATTTCCACTTGGTGACCCCCCCAGGGCGAAAAAGTTGAGATCCTGAGGATGTGTGAGAAGACACTGGAGCTGGGGGTGCTGGTGCTGGCAAAGGGGGTGGTGGAGGTGCTAATAAAATTGAGGGTGGGGCAGGAGGAATGAAGTCAGGAGGGGTGGGTGTGGATGGTGGGGATAGAGCTCCAAATACTGGGGGTGGAGGTGGAGCCATGTTGGGTGGGGGCGGGGGTTCCAGGAGCAGGGGAGGTGGAGGGGGAGCTGTGGAAGGTGGAGGTGGGGGTTGAAAGGTATCTGAGGGTGGCCCTGGGGCGGGGCCAGGAGGAGGTGGGGGGATGGGTGGGTCCTGGCCATAGTGCCCTTGCCTCAGGTCCCCCACAGAGCTGTACAATCGGAGGTTGCCATTGACGAGCGAGCTGGTGCCTGAAAGAAGGGAGAGGCAAAAAGATGAAGAAAGGTCTTGGCAATCCCTGTTCCCCTCAAAGGGTACTCAAGAGAATAACTGGTCCAGTTTCATGGCAGTGGCTTTAGTCTCCTAAGCTGTCCTGGGGGTAACGTGCTTTCTTCTGGGGAGAGGACACTCCCTGGCCCTGGAGAGTCAAAGGTACTCTACCCTTCTCTGCCAGGCTCAGTACTGGGCTCCCTCTGGCTACAGGGGGTTCAGCCAATGGGAGACAGTGATCCCAGGGCTGGAGTAAAGAGATGGATTGGAGGGGGAGGCGATGAAGCCCTGGTAGTTATTCCCGGGCAGTAGTTCCCATCTGAGCCACTAGAGGGCAGAAGCTTCATTTTGCTTGGGTACTGTTGCCAGTCCCTGGGGCAACCCCCATTGATTGAGTAGCTGTTTGTCTCCTGCCAAGACCTTGACTGGTACGGGGCCAAAAGACCACAGTTCAAATCCCAGCACTACCATTTATCAGATATGTGACCTCAGACATACTAATTAACCTTGCTGAACCTCAGTTTCGTCATCTCTAAAATGGGCTTAATATTAGTGCTCACCTCATAAAGTTGTAGGGAAGATTAAATAATTCAGGTAAATATATGTAAAGGTTTGTCATAGTGATGTTCTTTGTGCCCTTGAGTCGGTTCCAGCTCACAGTGACCTTAAGTTAAACCACCCATAGGGTTTTCCTGGGGTCCCAGTCCCTGATTTATGACTTCCTATCTCTCTTTCCACTTTCTGGTCTGTTATATGAGCTGAAAAATTAAGCACAGTGCTTATCATTTAGTACCTGCCTACTATGGGCCTGGCAGGAGTCCTGGTGTGGTGCGTTAGGATAAACACTGGACTGCTAACTGAGAGGCTGATGGTTCAAATCTACCAGCTGCTCCTTGGAAACCCTATACAAGTAGGAACCAACTTGAGGGTACTTAACAACAACAACAAATGGGCCGGGCAAGGAACTCTGCTGGCACAACAGATTAAGCACTCAGATGCTAACCGAAAGATTGGTGGTTCAAACCCACCCAATGGCTTTGTAGGAAAAGGACCTGGTAAGTGGTTCCTGTAAAGACTATAACCAAGAAAAGCCTATGGAGAGGTTCTTCTTTGTCACATGGGGTCACTAAACTAAAACCCAAACCAAAGGCATTGCCCTGGATTCGATTCTGACTCAGTGACCCCGCACTGAGGTTTCCGAGGGTTTCCGAGGCTGTAAATCGTGCGAGAGAAGACAGCCTTGTTTTCTGACATCAGAATAGTGGAGAGTTTAAAGTGTCAACCTTGCAGTTAGCAGTCCAGTTCTTGTTCTACAGTCAACAGTGCTCTGCATGAGGTCACTATGGGTTGAAAATAAACTCAATGGCATCGACAACATCAACATGGCAAATTTAAATTGCTGGGTGGTGATTTCAATAAGTGGACAGAGAGCAGTCCTCACAGAGAAGCTAACAGAAGCAGCAGTGAGGGTACAGATGACCAGGGGAAGAGCGTTCCAAGCAGAGACATGTGCAGTGCAAAGACCCCGACGTGGCAACATGCTAGGATATTTGAGGAGAAACCAGGAGACAGGTGTGGCTGCAGCAGACTGAGGCAGGGGAAGAAAGCGGAAGATGAGGTCAAAAGAGGCCAGATTCAAGCAGTCCTTGCAAGGATTGTGGCTTTTCTTTGAGTGGTATGGGAAATCTTGGCAGGTTTTGAGCAGAGGTGTGACACAAAGTGACTTAATGTCCATCCAATACTTCATTTGCTCCTCAAGAACTGGAATTGCTCCAGTGTTCATTTGAAGACATAGAAGCACAAGGAAATAAGTGATGAGCCCTAGGGAACAAAGCTACCATGCAGGGGAGCTGGGATTCAAAGCCAGCTCTGTTTGCCTCAAGAGTGCTTTCTACCGATTTGTGCCACCCTTGTTCTTTTTGTGTCTACTCACTGTCCTTCAAAGGAAGTGAGCCTTAAGCAACTCTGGCTTTCAAATTTCAGTCCCATTGCATCCAGCAGCCAAGAGGGCCACAAGATCAGCTGTGAGTGGGAAGTCCAGGTTTATTCCCAGCCAGGGAGGTAGGTCAGATACTTGGCTTTTGCAGTCAGGGCCCAAGAGAAAAGGAAAAATGGGCAACCCCCAAAAGCCCAGAGTCCTCTTACCTGTCAATTCTTTGCCTGCAAAGTCTTCTGGGACAGATGGAGTGGGCACAGCCAGCCCATGGTTCTCCTGGGCATTCTGAAAGGGACCGGAGAGCGATCAGGGAAGAAGGGAGGACAGAGTGTTCCCAAATCACTGCTCTGGAGGCCACTTAGTAGTACTTAAGAATCTGCAGTCACTGGTGATGAGGACATATCTTTGTGACTATACTAAAACAATGTTTGCATTCGAGTTGGTTTTGACACACAGTGACCCTGTACAAGGTTTCTGAGAATAGCTGGTGGTTTTGAAATCTGACCTTGCAGTTACCAATCCAGTGCTTTCTATAATGCTACACCAGTGCACATTACTAAAACACAGAAGGGTGAATTTCTAAAATCTATTCTTTTTTTTATTAAAAAAAATTTTTTTATTGATGTGAAAATATACATAGCCAGAAATAGACCACCTCCATGATGTCTCCCTGTACAATTCCGTAACATTCCTCTAGCTGTGCAACCATTCTCACACGCCTTCTCCAAATAATTCCAACGCCATTAACATAAACTCAGTGCCCTAAGAAACACTCTTCCTTTCTAAAGGGTGAAAGGATCCACTCAGAGGCACCTCAGAAGAAAGGTCTGGTGATCTTCCCAAAAAGCAACCACAGCAGACCTGTTCTACTCTGACACACATGGGGTCCTCATGAGTGGGAGTCGACTCCACAGCAACTGGTTCTTTTCAATTTTAGGGTATATGAATTATAGCTCAATTTAAAAAATGAAAAACAAGAAGAAAAATTTATATATATATATATATATATAGGTCGTGACTCCTCACTGATGTCCGCAGGATAAAGGTTTAACCCCTCAGGCCTGGCCTCCTGTTGGCGCTTATTTTTCATTAGGCACCCAGATCGCTTTATAGAAAAATAAATAAAAAGGGGTGAGCGGGAATATTTGCAGCACTCCAGAGCCCCTTTGGATCACCAAGCTTAACAGATCATGTGTTTACACAGCTGCCAGTTTGAACATATTATTTTGTATTCTTTCTTTCTTTTATTCCAAAAATAGATTTGCATATGTCAGCGGAGTCTACACACCATTTTGAAGCGCTGTGGAGTGTTTTGGGGTAGCTTTCCGGGTCCTTCGTGACCTATCTCCTGCTTCCCATCACCCCCACCCTGCAGTCTAACTTGATTTGCTTCCTTCCTGCCTCCCACCCTCCTCTTGTAGCTATGTTCCTCCCTGAGGCTGGGTGCTAGTCCGACGGTGGCTTTCTCCACACCTCTATTTCCATACTTACACTCCTATATGGCGTCCTGGTGTAGCGCTGTGGATTAATGCGCTAGACTGCAAAGCCGTTTGAACCTGCAAGGTCAGCAGTTCAACTTCACCAGCTGCTCCTAGAAAACCCTGTACAGGGCCACTATTGGTCGGAACCGACTCAACAGCAGTTAACAACATACTCCTATGGTGATGGTGGTGGTGTGCCCTTGAGTTGGTTCTGACTCATAGTGACCCTGTATAGGGTTTCTGAGGCTATAAATCTTTATGGAAGCAGAAAGTCTCATCTTTTTCCTGCAGAGTAGCTGGCAGATTTGAACTGCTGACCTTGAGGCTAACAGCCCACTAAGCTACAAGGGCTCCTTAATACTCCTGTACTGTGCTATAAACACATTACTTTACTCACACCATGCTGTGAAGATGACGTTCTCCCCATTTAGCAGATGTGGAAACCGAGGCTCAGAAAAGTTTGAAAAATTGCCTGAAGTCCCATAACCAGTTCTACCAAACCAAGGTCTGTGGTACTTCCACCTTTTGGTGTTTCGTTGTTGTTAGCTGCTCTGTTGTGGAATTTGCCCCTGACTCATGGCAGCCATGTGAACAATGAAACCAAATGCTGCCCAGGTCTGCATCATCCCCATGATCAGTTACGGATGGATCTGACTATTGTTTCCATTGGCTGATTTTCAGAAGACGATCACCAGGCCTTTCTTCCTAGTCTGTCTTAGTCTGGAAGCCCCACTAACAGATGGGTGGTGGTTGTATTAACTAAGATGCAGACCCAGTTCCCCCGCATGGAAACTGAGACTTCTTCTGCTGGGCCACCAACAGCCTCTGTGGTATTTTGCCTGTCTATAATCTTTCAGAGCAGTACGGAGGCTCTGTAGGATAAGCACTGGACTGCAAACCACAGGGTCGATGGTTTGAATCCACCAGCCACTCCTCAGGGAACGACGGGGCTTTCTGCTCCTGCAAAGATTTATGCCTCAGAAACCCTATACAGGGTTGCTATGAATTGGAACCAACTTGACGGCACTTAACAAAAACAACAAAATCTCTCATCTTTCAAGGATTAGCTGAGACCCTCCAGTGGGGTGGTCTCAAGATAAGGGCTGAGCCAAACAATTTGGAGCCAAACTGCCTGGATCCGAATCCCCGCTCTGCCACCTACTAGCTATATAACTGTGCAAGGTATTGAAGCTCTCTGTGTTCCAACTTCCGGTGATGAAAATAGATCTGTCTACTGGAAGGCTGTGAGGATTAAATGACGCAATACAAGCACTTAGCTCGTGGCATGTAGTAAACACCCTGTAAATGTTACTGTGGTTCTTATAAGGAGCCACCCCTTGTCTACATCAACCCACACTGACCTGGTGCTGCTTAGCACAACCCGCAGCTGAGCCCCATCAAGTGGGACTATTGTTGCTCTCTGGAGCCCCTGATGCTGCAAATGGTTAAGCACTTGGCTATTAACTAACAAGCTGGTGGCTGGAATTCACTCAGGGCATCTCAAAATAAAGGCCTGGCGATCTGCTTCCAAAAGAGAACAACAATTGAAATCCCTACGGTGGATAGTTCTATTCTGACACACATGGGTTTGCTCTGAGTCAGAACCGACTTGAAGACAGCTGGCTGTTTAGTTGTTCTCAAGATGATCCCCTAGTGCCTCTAATGAGATCTGTTAGGTCCTGGGCACCCAGGGACCAGATCTTATGTGTGATCCTCAAAGCTGGACACACAGTAAGGCTAGTTGAGAATTAGCACCTCCATAGTAAGTAAGCTCACTGGTGGCACCAACTCTCTGAGCTTAAAAGCTTGATATACAAGAAAGGAGAATTCCAAGTCAATGTTACAGAAAGGTGCTGATTTAGAGAACCACAAGACATTGGGTTGCCAAGGGAGACCTCAGAATCATCCATCAGTCTATTAGGGGGCTATATGTTGAACTCATCTTTTCGTTCTTAAAAATAATTTTGAAGTTAGAATAGCTTCAAGCCACATTTGGTCTTTTTTTTTTTTTTCATGTGCTTCACATGGCTGACACACATCTGTTCTTGACATATCTCAAACCCAATGATTTTGAAGTCAAGGGACGGGCAGGGGTCATCCAATCAGTATATCACCCAAGACAGTGTGATATGCAGTGAGTGGTTGTATGCATGCAAATCATTGTCTAATATATGCACTCTCTGATTTCAGCGAAACGTGGCCTGAGCTGAGACCTCTGATTACCCCCATCTCTTTTTTTTTTTTTTTTTCTTAAATGTTTTATTGTGAATGATGTGATAGTTTACATGGGAGAACATTAGTTTTACATTCATTCTATCGTATATCATCTCATTGCCATGGTTACAATACCCTCCATGCAATCCTTCCTCCATACCCCCCAGGTCTTCAGCACACAGTCGCTCTCCCTCTCTGGATCTAAAGTTTCCAGCTGCTCTATCTCTCCACATCATCATCTCTGGCTCCATTTCAGGCACCACTGCCTCTCTGGGTAGGGTCCTGCTCTCTGCTCTTCTCCCTTGATGGTCCTAGGGACCTCTGCTCCTAGACTGAAAAGTTAATCACGCCCCTCCTTGCTACCTTTACATTTCCAACCCTCACAATCAGTCCTGATAACAATTATTCACTATTGGTATCACAAGAGACCTGTCTGCATTTCACTGCATCAGCCCCGCCTAGTCAGGTTGAATACTACTCACTGGAGATTCTACCTTCCTCCAGGCCCTCTGGATCTAGGTTCCCTCTTGAAAGCTTGTAAGCCAGTCACTCCTTGCCTTTGAAGCCCCCCACCCCCCATTTTGGGTAGCCAATGTCCAAGTTGCCCATCCCTGTCTACTCTGTGTGTGGAGGGGGTGGGAATGATTCTTGCTGTAAGGACTTGTTCCCTCTTTTGAGCTACTGCTTCCATAGGTGTAGGTCAAGTTCATCAAATTGTATGAGAATACTTTTTTTTTTTTTCCTCTTCTTTTTATTTCTGGTTGAGCTCTGATCATCCAGTCACTGAAGCCAGGATAAGTGGGCATTATCTGAAAGTGTGAGTGTTCTTATGCATATGCCCTCTCTTCTTATCAGCTGAATGCTTCACTCTCCGCTCTAGTCCTCTGTGGCTATGTCACTGACTCTGGGCCCAAGAGTCCCCAGGTCTTGCCACACTGCTGGCCAACCAGGTCTTCACCTGGGCTCACAGAAGTCTACTGAACGTTGTAGGGCTTAGCTCACCACTTCATTGCTGTTTTTCCCTCACTTCCCCTTATCAGCGTCGAGTGTGGTCACCAATCACAGCGTGTATTCCCATTGAGTCTTAGTCTTGGAAGGGGGTTTGCACTGAGGGGATCCAACCACTTGCCTTGATGTTTCCTGGGCAAGCAAGTTGCTTGTTCTTGTAGTAACAGTCGGTCTGCCTATGTTGTTTTATATTTTTCCTGCAGGTCTTTCTTTCAAGAAGTATCTTCTGTTCTTCTAGCCACTCCAAGTTGGTCTGCTACCCCCATCCTTTGTAAAAAAAATTGTTGTGGTAAAATGTACATATAACATAAAAAATGCCGTTTTAGCAGGTTTTCAGTGCGTTATTCAGTGACATCAGTTACATTCATCATGTTGAATGCCATCATCACTACTCCTGAACATAACTTGAAAGTAGAAAGATTTGAGAGCTTAGTGCCCAAAGTCTTGGATTCTAATTCATGCTCTGGCTGTGGTATGACCCTGGATGCAGGGTGGGGGAGTAGTGATGTTAAATTCTCACTCAGGCATCTGTTGCAGACCCTACGTCAAGGCAGGTCCCCGACAGGCATCTACTGCCCGTAA